TAGTAAAATAATCATCTTTAGTTTTCCTGAAATTCTGACGTTCTGTTTGAACATTTTTAGAATAGTAAATTTAATTATATCAATTTTTTTTTTATTTATGAGAACAGATTCTTACGATTTAACTTAGAGCTGAAACATCTTAGCCTCTATAATTTTTATTAAAATTTATTTTTTAACATTTTTTACTTTTTTATTTGTGTTAATGTTACATTTGTTCAAAATTGCAAAGGTCGCGACCTTCGCAACCGCGTGCTATTCTCGTTAGCATAGTGGCGGTGATAAGACTGTTATGTACACGCAACCGCCGGTGGGGGGCGGAAGTGCATGCCTCCGGGGGCGGCTAACGTCGGCGTTGCGACGCTCACTTCGCCGTCGTGCGTCGGAACGTCGCAACTTATCCCAACTCGATGATTTTTTGGCGCGAAAGTGCAACTTTTTAGTGCAACAATGTTGTTCATACTTTTCACTTTTTTCACATTCGGTAAGTTTCAGTGTCTTTTTTTCAGTCGGGGAAAAATCGGGATGCTGAAATGCCAGCAGACAGACGGCGTGAGTCATCCGCGGCGAGACACTTCCTGAAAAATCTTTCAATTGATTCATTATTTCAGCAAAAGGGCAAAATTACCGGCGATAAAAACGCCCATTTTTGCCAAGATAACGCGTGAAATATCACCCTTTCGGGGCTAATTGAAAAAAATCCTTTCACAAGTCTATTATCTGAAAAAAGTTTCAGGGAGGCAACAGGCATTTTTCAGGGTTGGGCCGTGATGTCAGACTTTTAAATGGAAACGACTTGATTATTCAGCAATGCGAAATATTTCGATGAAAGTTCAAAGGGGGCAAAAAGCCTAATATTTTCCCGGTGATTTACTAAAGGATTTAGGGGTGGAAAACGCCCCCAAAACACGCTTTTTAACACAAGTGGCCATGTATCAACATCGTATTTACTCGTAAATCGATAAAATTCGGACGCAACATTTAAAATATTCACCCTAGAATGTCGAAAAGTTGTAAAATTTTTATGACAAAAAGATTTGAGACACAATTTATTTTCAAATTTGTTTGCAACTCTCATATTACCAGAGTGCTTTTACAATGCACTTGCGAATTTGCATTAAGAGTTAGAATCAATATTTGCACTTAAATTACACTGAAAAATGAAAATTTTTCAGTTTGTTCAACTCCTGAAGCTTTTTAAAGGTGGTTACGTGCTAATAAAACTTGGAACATTTCTCGTTGTTTTCCTGAAATGGGGTTAAAAGTTTCGTCCTCCAGGGATCAACCGTCAGTCCAAATACATTTTATTACAAATTTATTTAACTGAAAATCGCTCCGATATTAAATGGAATGCAAAACCGCTTCACATTTTACATAAAATCAATAACTCGCCCAAAAAACTCCCATTTGAATTAAATTAGGAACATATGTCTCGCTATCATTCATTTATTGTCACGCTGGGTGTTCTATTTTTACCATCAAGTTGATAAATGTCACGGGATGGGCCGAATTCATAAATATTTCGAAAGGCAAATCGACAAACTTGGTCAATATTTGACCAAAATGAGATTAAGTCTTTATGGTCAATAAATCGAAACACTTGCATTTTACCCTCGTGTGGGCATTTTATTATGTGTACACTTTATTAATTACACGAGAATTTTTTCAGCCAAGGCCGCCCCTGCACGCAAGGTGTAAAGTTCGGAAATTTATCTTTGAACATGGATTAATTCCCGATTAGTTATCGATAACGAGATGGGCAAATATTTGCAAAAAAACATCACCGATTAGCATTTTTCTATGAAAAATTATTAATTACGTAATCGAAATTTTAAACGATAAAAGCCTCTGATCTGTTTTTAATTAAAATTAAAAATGCTTTCAGGGCAAGACTGAATCGATAAAGGAAAAGTCAAATGTCATTTTTTTATGCTAAATCAAGCGAAAGTTTGATATTTTCACACGAAGCTTTAAAACTAATTAGAAATGACGAAAAAAATTGCCGCAAACTTGACTTGAGGGAATTTCAGATTTTTATTGTTGTTTGGAGCGTTTTATGTAAATGTTGTTTGTCTGATTTTGTTGCGATTTGCATAGAAATTAAATAAATTCATGTTTCAGTGAAAGCGTTTTTCAGTGGTTTCAAGTGTTTTATAAGCGAAACAATGTAGCATAATTCAGGTATAAAACTGCACTTCTTTGGCTGTAATAATGTTATCTTGCAAGATAAATGGTCCTGAAAAGAGAAGAGTAAAGTGTAATGGTGCGTGCAATGCGTGGGCAAACTTTATTTGGCCAATCTTTTTTTGTAGAAAATTTATTATTTTATGAATGATGAAACTGGACTTTTCAGTTTTTGTCTTGATTGAATAAAATGGAAAGAAGATTAAAATATGGCAATTTTCTTTTATGAACTATAACAAACACGTTAGCGTGAAATTAAAAAAATAAAAGTTTTACGTCTAAACCCGGATTATCTGTCGCAATGAAGTGAACTGTAGAGCTTTAAACAGCTTTAATTTGCATTATTTCGATAAGTTTTCACAATTTATTTTATTCCAAACACAAAGTCGGGTTTAATTTCATCCATTGTCCGTTTTTCAGCAGACAAGCAAATATTTCAGGCGATTTCTTCATTTGTATTGTTGGGTGATCGGTCGCTTATCGGACTATCGCAAACTTTTCAAATTTTTATTTCACTTTTTGGCTGAAAAATTTTCTGAAACTTTTTTTTCAGCAGAAGCAAATATTTAATTTTTTTTATTTGTACTGTCGGGTGACCGATCGCTTATCAGACTATCGCAAACTTCTAAAATTTTTATTTAGGGTTTTTGGTTGAAATATTTCAAAAATATGTTTATTAAATTTCAATAAAATTTTTCGAAATATCTCAGTTTTCAAGTGTCAAACCCAGATTTTTTTTGCAGTCAACTAAACTGTAAAGCTTTAAACGGCGTTACTTTGTATTATTTTAATAAATTTTTACAATTTATTTTATTTTAAACGCAAAGTTGAGTCCAATTTTACCCATAGTCTATTTTTCAGCAGACAAGCAAATATTTCAGGCGATTTCTTGGGTGATCGGTCGCTTATCGGACTATGGCAAACTTTTTAAATTTCTATTTCACTTTTCTGGCTGAAATACTTCTTGTTTATGTTTCAAACTTGAATCAATCAAACTTCAATTAATTTTTCAAGAATATTTCAGTTTTTCAGTGTCAAATCCAGATTATCTCTTGCAGTGAACTAAACAGTAAAGTTTTACATTTGCATTATTTCAATAAATTTTTACAATGTATTTATTTCTCACACAAAGTTGAGTCTAATTTTACCCAACGTCTATTTTTTAGCAGACAAGCAAATATTTCAGGCGATTTTTTTTATATGTATTGCTTTGATTGATTATCAGACTATTGCAAACTTTTGAAATTTTTATTTAATTTTTTGGCTAAAAAAATTTTTGAAATTTTTTTTTTAGCAGAAGCAAATATTTCATGTTTTTTATTTGTATTGTTGGGTGACCGATCGCTTATCAGACTATCGCAAACTTTACAACTTTTTATTTTATTTTTTTGTTTGAAATATTTCAAAAACTTATGTTTATTAAATTTCATTTAAATTTTCAGAAATATTTAAGTTTTTAGTGTCAAACCCAGATTCTTTCTTGCTGTTAACTAAACTGTAAAGCTTTAAACGGCTTTAATTTGTATTATTTTAATAAATTTTCACAATTTATTTTATTTTAAACGCAAAGTTGGGTCCAATTTCACCCATCGTCTATTTTTCAGCAGACAAGCAAATATTTCAGGCGATTTCTTTATTTGTATTGTTGGGTGATCGGTCGCTTATCGGATTTTTTAAATTTTTATTTCACTTTTCTAACTGAAATATTTCCTAAAACTTGTGTTTATGTTTCAAACTTGAATCAATCAAACTTCAATTAATTTTTCAAGAAAATTACAATTTTTCACTGTCAAATCCAGATTATCTCTTGGCAGTTTCAAAAAACGGCTTCAATTTCTATTATTTCAATAAATTTTTACAATGTATTTTATTTGAAACACAAAGTTGAGTATAATTTCACCCAACGTCTATTTTACACTTTTTTGGCTGAAAAAATTTTTGAAACTTATGTTTATGTTTCAAACTTAAATTAAAATTTTAGGTATATTTTATTAGTTTTTGGGTGTCAAGCCTGGATTATCTCTTGCAATGAACTGGACTGTAAATCTTAATGGTTTTCCACAATTATTGAAAAATTAGTTTTTTATAGAAAAAAATATTAAAAAATCTGAATAGACAAAAAGTAATTAGTTAGTTTTAAAGTTTTTAATAAATTTAATTTAATTTTCTAATTTAGATAAAGATCCCTTAAAAAAAGTTCAAAAAAAAAAACAAATTTGTAAAACATGAGTTGATTTTCATTTACAAGTTTTTTACCAGTTTTATTAATTCTTAACTTGAGAAATATAACACAAAGTAACTTTTCTTTTTTTAAAGTATGTGGACATAAATTCTAGAATTTTTTTTGCTTAACAAATCATCTTTTTTTCTGCATTTACACTGAGCGCTATTCAATAAGCCGAGCTTCTTCGATTTTTGATTCGGATAAAATAAACTAACTGGAAAAAGTTTGAAGGGTTTTTATTGCGTTTAGGGAAAGAATTACAATTTCGGAGGTCTACGTCTTGAATAATGAAAAAGTTTCCTGCTACCTTCATCCAGCACCGCCAGGAATTAAAACGCAAAGAGGCGAATGATATATTCCTCAAGTGGGAGGAAAACGCACACTTTCCACCTTGTGTAAAAATGTTTTTCCTCGAATAAATTAAATTCGTGACAGCAAATCGAAATCGTGACATTTACCACCTCTCTAAATATTTAAAATTTATTACTTGACGTAAACCAATAACAATCTTTGATAAAAGTTAATGTTAATCGACATGCAAATACACTAATAATATTTCCATTGCTATACAACGCTGAAATGAGCTTTTAGTACACCCGATCGATAATTTATTACGAAATTTTTTCAGTTTCAACCCTCGCGTGCCCACACATTAAAACACGATTAAAATGTAAGAAATATTCGCGTAATTGTCGCTCGCGTTGTAATTCCTTGTGATTTATGGCCGGTCTGGTATTGAGTGACCGACACGATTTATATTCCCTGAAATTTATCACACGTTTTCAGATGTGACACGAATTTCGTCGAGATTTCGTCGTAAAGTGACAGCTGCTGACACTGAAAAACCAAAATATTCCTGAAAACTTAATTGAAGTTTGATTGATTCAAGTTTGAAACATAAACACAAGTTTCAGGAAATTTTTCAGCCAAAAAAGTGAAATGAAAATTTGAAAAGTTTGCGATAGTCTGATAAACGATCGATCACGCAACAATACGAATGAAGAAATTGCCTGAAATATTTGCTTGTCTGCTGAAAATGGACGATGGGTGAAATTAAACCCGGCTTCGAATAAAATAAAAGAAAATTTATTGAAATAACGCAAATTAAAGCCATTTAAAGCGTTACATTTCAGTTCACTCCAAGAGATAATCCGGGTTTAACACCCAAAAACTAATAAAATACCTGTAAATTTAATTTATGTTTAAAATACAAACACAAGTTTCAGGAATTTTTTCAGCCGAAAAGTGAAATAAAAAATTTAAAAAATTTGCAATAGTTTGATCATCAATCAAAGCTATACAAATAAAGAAATCGCCTGAAATATTTGTTGTTTGCTGAAAAATAGACGTTGGGTGAAATTAGACTCAACTTTGTGTTTGAAATAAAGTAAATTGTAAAAATTTATTGAAATAATGCAAATTAGAGCCGTTTTTTGAAACTGCCAATTAGGGTTTTACAAATTCCTGTTTCAGGTTTATTTTAATTCTCAACTAAAAACTGAAGAAAATTAAAATGTTTTCATTGCAAGGGATAATCCGGGTTTGACACTCAAAAACTAATTAAATATACCTGGATATTTAATTTAAGTTTGAAACATAAACACTTGTTTCAGGAATTTTTTTAGCCGAAAAATAAAGAAATCGCCTGAAATATTTGCTTGTCTGCTGAAAAATAAACAGGTGAAATTAGACTCAACTTTGTGTTTGAAATAAAGTAAATTGTAAAAATTTATTGAAATAATAGAAATTGAAGCCGTTTTTTGAAACTGCCAATTACAGCTATAGGGTTTTACAAATTACTGTTTCAGATTTATTTTAATTTTCAACAGAAAAACTGAAGAAAATTAAGATGTTTTCATTGGAAGAGATAATCCGGGTTTGACACCCGAAAACTAATAAAATATACCTGGAAATTTAATTTAAATTTAAAACATAAACACAAGTTTCAGGAATTTTTTCAGCCGAAAACTAAATAAAAATTTTTAAAAATTGCAATGGCCTGATAATCAATCAAAGCAATACAAATAAAGAAATCGCCTGAAATATTTGCTAATCTGCTGGAAAATAAACCTTGGGGGAAATTAAACTCAACTTTGTGTTTGAAATAAAGTACATTGTAAAAATTTATTGAAATAATGCAAACTGAATCCGTTTTTTGAAACTGCCACTTACAGCTGTAGGGTTTTACAAATTTCTGTTTCAGATTTATTTGAATTCTTAACAGAAAAACTGAAAAAAATTAAAAATTTTCATTGAAAGAGTAATCCGGGTTTGACACTCAAAAACTAATAAAATATACCTGAAAATTTAATTTGAGTTTAAAACATAAACACAAGTTTCAGGAATTTTTTTATCCGAAAAGTGAAATAAAAATTTTAGAAAATTGCAATAGTCTGATAATCAAAGCAACACAAATAAAGAAATCGCCTGAAATATTTGCTTGTTTTCTGAAAAATAAACGTTAGGTGAAATTAGACTCAACTTTGTGTTTGAAATAAAGTAAATTGTAAAAATTTATTGAAATAATGCAAACTGGAGCCGTTTTTTGAAACTGCCAATTACAACTGTAGGGTTTTACAAATTTCTGTTTCAGATTTATTCTAATTCTTAACAGAAAAACTGAAGAAAATTAAAATGTTTTTATTGCAAGAGTAATCCGGGTTTGACACTTAAAACTAATAAAATATACCTGGAAACTTAATTTAAGTTTAAAACATAAACACAAGTTTCAGGATTTTTTTCAGCCGAAAAGTAAAATAAAAATTTAAAAAAATTGCAATAATCTGATAACCAATCAAAGCAATACAAATAAAGAAATCGCCTGAAATATTTGCTAATCTGCTGGAAAATAAACCTTGAGGGAAGTTAAACTCAACTTTGTGTTTGAAATAAAGAATTTTGTAACAATTTATTGAAATAATAGAAATTGAAGCCATTTTTTGAAACTGCCACTTACAGCTGTAGGGTTTTATAAATGTTCTGTTTCAGATTTATTTAATTCTCAACAGAAAAACTAAAAAAAAAATAAATAAAATGTTTCAATTTTTTTGTGAAACTTAGTACATATATTTAAAAACTAAATTAAATTTAACAAATTAATTTTTTTTATATTTTTTGTAGAAAAACGAAATTTAAAGAAAAAGTTTAAACATTTTCTACAAAAAATTAAACACTTAATCTATAGATAACACTGAAACTTTCAGTTGTTACAAATAAATTCCTACAGATTTGAATTTTTCCATTTTACTTCAAAAAATACCAAGTTTTTTGAGTTTTTTCACTTTCGTCAAGCTCACCTGCATGCAAAATGATAACCGAGAAATCCAAAATTGGCAATAACAATAACATTCGCACGTTTCCGGCTCTAATTGGAAAATTCGCTCGGTGAAAATTTAATTATAATGATGATTCGGGGAAATTAAGCGGGTCAATTTCCGTCTTTTACATTTATTTAACCGACCATAAACCGCCAAGGCATTATTATCGACGAGATTAAACCCTAGCTAAAAGCTTGCCTATGCCGTAAAAGGCCTAATTACTGTCTTCCAAACAGACACAGACTTCAACAAAGCCACGGCAAATCGATACACATCATGCAAAAGCATAATTTACGGCCCACCACACCTCACGAAAATGCCCCGTCATTTCTTTCACTAATCCAAGCTTCAAACTTATTCAATAATTAGTGAAAACTAGAAACTGGTATCAAATACCGTCAAATTCGAAGTTGTAAAGGGGCTCGCGGCTTTGCCGCTCGCCCCCTCCTAACCTCCGATTCGCAAATGTTTTGTCATCAAGCTTCAATCTTATTCACTGATTAGTGAAAATTTGTCTCTCTTTGCAGCAAATGGCGTCTATTTCAGCATGAGCGATATCAACATCACCATCCCCATCGACAAGGGCAAATTCCCCCTCAACAAGCAACCCTTGGCGAGCTTCCTCGCCCACGGCGATCCTCCCCTCAACTTCTCCATCAACAATAACCTCCTCAAAATCACACAAACCGGCGATGTCTTCTTCAGCCCCAATTTCCCCAATTTCACAAGTAATTAGAAAAAAATAACAAACTCGGATTAATCCGTCAATTGCAGAAGTTGACTCGATTTCGGCCCAAATCTCAGTCCGAGATAACTCCAATAAGGAAGCTACAACGCACTTAAACTTGGATTTTGTTCTATTAGACAGTCTCGATTGCGATTTGATCGTCGAGGAGTTGTGCTTTTGGAAGACAGTTCGATATAATTTCAGCGAAAACGCAAAACCGGGCCGAGTTGGGTCACTAGCGTCGCCGTTTCTGGTAGAAATGTGTGCAAGTTGCGAAATTAACTACAACCTACTCAGCAAGAACAAGGAGTTTAGGGTGGGGTCATCGGGGGCTTTACACTCGATTGAGTCGACGGAAGCTCTCGATAGGGAAACACAATCGTTGCACTTATTGGAAGTCTCGTGTAGTGTTGAAAATTCCAAACACACACTTAGGAGTATCAACCAGACTCTGGTGGTGGCTGTGGGAGACGTCGATGATAATCCGCCGAAAGCTCAAGAGAGGAGCATTAAAATCAACATGTCATCGAAGCATGTCCATAAGGTGAGACGTATTCAGAGCTTTCAGTGAATTAAGCTTTGTTCTGAAGCTCCATTCACACAATTGGAAGTTTGCCGACCTTGTCTTAGGGAAATTAAATCATGTAAAGGCAATGATAAATCATAAAATTTGGGAGCTTTCGGAAAAAGCTTCCTAGAAACACTTTCATTTCGCTCAAATGAGCTTTAGTGGAATTATCAGTCAAAACATTACTAATTAAGCTCATAAAAAACATTCAAAAATTCAGAGCTTTCGTTTTCAGACAAGTTTTGAGACCTAGTCTTAGAGAAATTAAATTGATTCAAGGACAATGATAAATCATAAAATTAGTGAGCTTTCGGAAAAAGCTTCTCAGAACTACTTTCATTTCCTTCAAACGAGCCTCGGTGTGAATTATCAGTCAAAACATTGTTAATGAAGCTCACAACAAACAATCAAAATTTCAGGCATTTACATTTTGCAGGAACTGTGTTGTATCAGCTTTTATAAACATTGCAAAACAATTAAAAGCTCTACAAAATTAGAGCTTTTTAAAGTAGTAAGTTTTCGTCTACAAAGTAGTATAATTAATTATTACAGTTCATACCAAATCATTGATTTTTTTCAGCTGAAATTCAGAGATTTACTTTTTAAAATAATCGTTGTCACAATTGTTTAATGTTTCGTTTTAAAAATTACTTAATTAAGTTAATTCACTAATATACTCTTTTGTAAAGAGGGTTATTTTGATAAAAATAAAAGAGTTGAAGACAAAGACAAAGCTTTGTAAGTAAAATTTTCATTCTACTTAAATTTTTTGCTGAAAATCTTATTAATAATTGAAATCCACAGCATTTTGCTAGTTCTCCTAAAAGTACGCTATTTTCAGGATGTATGGTTAGAATTAAAGTTGAAATAAATGAAAAAACGAAACCCAAACTCTCGATAAATATATCTAAGCTTTCTTAAGAAAGCTTATCTTGAATATTGTCCTGCTTTTCAAACTTACTGCTAAAACATAATTAATGAATTAAGTTAGCAACAGGCATTTATCTATTCCTGCTGAAACTAAAACTAAGCCTCTCACTAAAACATTTGTACTTCCTGGTGAAGCTTTTAATTAAACAGAAATGTGGATTTAAATTTAAACACTGTTTAACCTCTTAGGATCAATAAAATAAGGACATTTAGCATTAGCAGTCAAAACATATACTCACACAAACATTTGATAGTTCCTGCTGAAACTAAATTTTAGACATTTGCATTTTGCAGGAATTGAATTGTATCACCAATTGTATAGCTTTTATCAACATTACCTAACAGTTTAAAACACTAAAAAATTAAAGCTTTTTCTAGTAGTGAGAATTAGTTTTCCTCCAATTGAAAGTTTAGCAAAATTTAATTGAAGTAAAATAATGAGAAATTAAAAAATTGGTGAGCTTTTAGAAAAAGTTTCCGAGAAACACTTACATTTTGATCCAACAAGCTTTGTTATAATTATTATTTACAACATTGTTAATTATGCTCACTACAAACATCTAGAATTCTAGACATTTGCATTTTGCAGGAACTGAATTGTATCACCAGTTGTATAACTAAGCACCAAATAAATCAAAGCTTTTTAAAGTGATGAGTGAGCTTTAATCTACAAGACAAAAGCATAAGTGATTATTTTCGTTTACAGCTTTGCTGAAATTCAGAAATTTGCACTTTGCAGGAATCGTTGTCTATATGTATAATTTTTAAAAAAAGTTTAATTTTTTTTTTATTTTTAATTAGGCTCAAATAAGAGTTTAGTAAGCAAAATTTTTATTTTTTGCTGAAAACCTTATTAATTATTGAAACTCACAGCGTTTTGCTATTCCTGCTAAAACTACCCTATTTTTAAGACGTATGGTTAAAATTAAAGTTGCAATACATGAAAAAAGAAAACCTAAAATTTACAAAAATATATTACCTAAAGCTTTTTTTAAATATTGTCTTGCTTTTCAAACTTACTGCCAAAACATGATTAATTAATTAAGCTCACAACACGCATATCTCTATTTCTGCTGAAACTAAAACTAAGCCTCTCACTAACACAATGGCACTTCCTGCTGAAGCTTTCAGTTAAACAGAAATGTGGTTTAAAATTTAAACACTGTTTCACCTCTAAGGATCAATAAAATAAGAACAATTAGCATTAGCAGTCAAAACATGGATAAGCTCACACAAACATTTGATCGTTTCTGCTGAAACTAAATTTCAAATATTTGCATTTTGCAGGAATTTGATTGTATCACCAATTGTATAGCTTTTATCAACATAACAGTTTAGAGCACCAAAAAAGTCAGAGCTTTTTAAAGTAGTGAGCTTGCGTCATCACCACTTAAAAGTTTTGCGACCTAGTCTTAGAGAAATTAAATTGATGCAAAACAATAATAAATCAAAAAAATGTGAGCTTTCAAAAATCTTCCGAAAAACATTTTATTTCGCTCAAACAGGCTTTGGTGTAAATTATCAGTCACAACATTGTTAATTAAGCTCACAACAAACATTCAAAATTTAGAGCATTTTCAGTTTGCAGGAACTGAGTTGTTTCAGGTTTTGTAAATATTGCATAACAGTTAAAAGCACCAAAAACATCTGAGCTTTTTGAAGTAGTGCGCTCTTGTTTATAGAACAAAAATATAATTAATTATTTTAGCTTCCAACAAACCTATAGTTTTTTCTACTGAAATTAAGAAATTTGCATTCTGCAGGAATTGTTGTTAACATTATTTCATAAAAATGTTGAGTTTTATTTTTAAGATTTTTAATTAAATCAATTAGTTAATAAACCTCTTGCACATACATTAAAACCCAGGTAAGAGTCTTTTATAAGGTTGCTATTCTGAAAAAAAAAAAAAGCTGTAGACAAAGACAAAGCTTTGTAAGTAAAATTTTCATTGTGCTTAAATTTTTCGCCGAAAACCTTATTAATTATTGAAACTCACTACGTTTTGCCATTCCTGCTAAAACTTAAAATTAAAGTTGCCATAAATATAAAAAAAAATCGAAAAATATATCTAAGCTTTTTTTTTAAAAAAAAAACTTACCTTAAATATTGTTCTGTTTCTGAAAGCTTGCTGACAAAACATATTTAATTAATAAAGCCCTCGACAAATATTTACATATTCCTGCTGAAACACTTGTACTTTCAACTGAAGCTTTCAGTTAAACAAAAATGTGGATATAAACTTAAAGACTTAAGTATTAAGGGTGGCAGTCAAGATATTGGTAATTAAAAGCTCACGCAAACTAAACCAAACTAAATTTCAGACATTTGCATGTTGCAGGAATTGAATTGTATCACTAATCGTGTTGCATAAAAATACAGTTTTTTTACCTTGTAGAGCTTTTAAGCACCATTAAAAAATAAGACTTGTTAAAATAAAATATGTTTTTTTTTCAGAAAATAAAGGTCAAAACAAAAGAAAAATAAAAATGTTGACTATGCTGAAATAAGTTTAATTAATTGAGCTTGTAACAAATGTTTTATTATTCCTGCTGAAACTATGTTATTTGCAGGACGTGTAGTTGCCACTGATGCCAATTAAAACGCTTTTAATAACTTTGTTGATTTAAGGAAATTGTAAACGTACTCGTAATAGAAAATATTTACTTTAATTAAAATTTTCAATAAAGCTTTTTACAAATATTTTAAAGCATTACCAATAAGTTTTGCTACCAAAACATAAGCCTCTTACTGAAATATTTGTCCTTTCTGCTGAAGCTTTTAGTTTAATAGAAATGTAAATTTGCATTAAAAAATATTATAAAACACTTTTTAACCTTTAAGCTTTTATTAAACTTAACCAACAAAAACATTAAAAAAAGTTTACATTTTCATTTAACCGTTGTTCCAAAGCTCAAGCTTTTATTAAGATTATGAAAGTAGAGAAACAAGCACAACGCTGTATATCTGCAGAATCCCTTAGTAATGAAAGGGAGACTACAATAAATCAAGAAATTAGTGACGTGTCGTTACCACGAGCTTTGAAAAAGCTCATACAAATAGTTTCGTCTTGCTTTAATGAACTTTTGCTTTGGATTCCCCCACAGAAACATAATTAATTATGCAAGTTTTACTATCATAAGCTTAAAAATAGGAAAAACTTTTATTACAATTCGAGCTTTTGCCGTAAATTACTCTGCATACAGATGAAGCTTTATGTTTTTGTTGCTGTTGCAACAGGTTTTTATTGAAGCAGTTAAGCGATTTAAAGCTCTGTATTTCTCTATAAAAGTGATATTTGGATGTTGCTTACCCGAGCTTTGCAAATTAGTCTCCAAAAAGATAATTAATAGCTTAAGCTCACAGCAAACATTCTCTTATTCCTGCTGTCATGCAGCCGTTTGCAGGAACGGTAACTCTATCTGGTGCCAATTAAACCGTTCTCTCACATATTTCTCAAACACTGAGTATATTTTTGCGAGCTTTGTCCCACTAAAGGGCCATAAAGCTCGCATGAACACGACCGTATATTTTATATTAGAATGGCACGATCCTGCCATTCCTGGAACAGCAGAAGCGTTTTTAATCCCATGATTATCTCTGGATTATTTTATAAAACTTGAGTCGAGTAATCTTGACACGTAAATGGTCTTGAGTTATCTTTGTTTTTGGGCAAGATTCATTCGAGCTTGAGCTTTCCGCAGTGCGACGAGACTCTTATAAATCGAGCACCTGTACCATTAAATGTTATTTAAATCGGTGATAGGCGCAAGTTCGTGGAAAATCGTAAACGGGGAATGTTATCGCCTGAAACTAAACTAAAACAACTGATACGATTTATCCCAGTTTCAGGATTGCGCTGAAATGTGTTTTTCATTGCAGGATCAAGTGGTTGCACACAAAGATTTAATTTTCAGCGATAGGGATTCGTCCGCTGTTAATAAATATAAGCCGGTGATTTTGAACGATACGCTGAAAATCCTGAAAGCTCAATGCAACAAGTTTTCGGATGATCATTTGAAGCAGGAAGTTCAAACTGCTGTCCATTGTAGTAAGTTTTATCTTGATTAATTTGTGCTCACGCACGAAACACACCTTGATTCTGAAAATCAAGAATTAATTACAATTTCCGGGATTTTTTCAGAACTGAAATTCACGAAAACAGTTCCGGTGAAAAAATCAACTTATTCAGTCGTGTTGCAATTAAACGACACCTCCCTTGTTAATGGAAATGGAGCAGTAAGTTTTATTTTTATCTGAGTTTTCAGGAATTTAGTCATAATTTCAGGTTAATGTCCCAATTGATTTGCAATTTCTGGATGATTCCGGGCATCATCCCGGATTGTATAAAAGACAGCTGAAACCGACTACTCTTTATCCCAGCAACAAAATTCAAATTTTCAGGTATAGTATTATTAGTTCGCAATTGATATACTGGAACAGCATAGGAGAGTGTTGCGTATATTGGACTTCAGTTTAATTTATTATTTATTTATATTACGTTAATGTTCTTACGTTTGCGTAGATTCTGAAACCCTAATTATCAAATTTTTCATTTTTACGTTTTTTTACGTAGAAATGCATTTATTTTATTTAAACAATTTGATTTTACATTTTTACGTTTGCGTAGTTACGATTATGGCAACTTTCATTAGGCAAAAAGTCTATAATTTTTTACTGTTTCTTTTACTTTTATGTTTTAACATTTTAACATTTGCGTTTTTACATATGCATTTACACGTTTGATTTATTTATTTTATTTTATTTCCGACACGATTTATTATAAAATTATAATCGAAATAATTTTTATTTTCTATATCATTCTTAAGTTTTTACGTATGCGTTTGCACATATTTTATGTGTTTACGTTTTACGTTTGTGTTATTATGACTGCATTTATAGCATGGTTTCCGCCTACGTTTATTCTTGCGTTCTTGAGTTTACACAAGTTAAGTTTGCGTTGTTACGTTAACGTTCTTACGTTTATACTGTTACATTTTCACGTTTACGTTGTTACGATTAGGCATGTTTTCCATTTACGTTAATCTTCGTGTTCTTAAATTTACACAAGTTTACACACAAGTAAAGTTTGTGTTTATTGATTTTTTACGTTTGCGTTCTTACGTAAGCAATTTGATATTCTAACATTCTTACATTTTTACGTTTACTATTGTTACGATTACGACAAACTTTGATAAGAATAGTAGTTGATAAAATAGCACTGTTACTTCTATGTTTTTAAGATTCTATGTTTTTAGGTATTTACGTTACGTTAGATTTGCATTTACACGTTAATATGATTACGTCATAAGTTTTGGCTTAAACTTTTTAAAACCTATATAAAAAAATTTAACAATTAATAAAATCTGATATTTTCTACGTTTACGTTCCCATATTTGAAATTTTTTTGTTTAGGTTTAATTTTTTTTAAGCCGTAATTTATAAATTTATAATGTTTTTACGTTCTTATGCTTTACTTTGCATTAAAATTTTTATGTTTTTATGTACTTTGGTATACTTTTATGCTTGCATTGTTACGCTTACGTTTACGTTCCAAAATATTTTTAATTTTAAATTTTTTCAATTTTTTTTAATTTTTACGGTTGCGATTTTTACGTTGTTAAGTTATTCTTCTAATTACCGTCATTAAAAATAAGTAAAATCTTGAATTTCGATACTAATTTATCAAATATTTTTATTCTTAGGTTTTTTACGTATGCGTTTCTGTTTATATTTTGTGTTTGCGTTATTACGACTGCATTTATAGCATGGTTTCCGTCTACGTTCATTTTTGTGTACTTAAATTTACACAAGTTAAGTTTGCGTCCTCACGTTTACGTTCTTACGTTTATACTGTTACATTTTTACATTTTCAAGTTTATGTTGTTACGATTAGAGCACCCTTTTATTAGAGAAGAAGTCGATAATTTCGCACTGTTACATTTACTTTTATGTTTTTAAGTTTTTTTGTTTTTACGTTTTAACATTTACGTTCTTACATTTGTATTTACTCGTTTTATTTACTTATCACTTATTTATTATTTATTACACAATTTATTATCAAGTTTTATTTGCAATAAATATTTATTTTTTATATTACGGTTAAGCGATTTTACGGTCTTATGTTTGCGTCTATATGTTTTTACGTGGTTAAGTTAACTTTACGTCAACTTACATCAAATGTAAGTAAAATTTTAAATCCTGGGATCTTTAATAATCAAATATTTTTATTCTTACGTTTTAAAGTTTTTATATTTTTTACGTATGCGTTTATACACTTTTCTGATTACGTTTTATGTGCTTGCGTCCAATGTTTGCGTTATTACGACTACACTTATGGCATGTTTTCCATTTACGTTAATCTTCGTGTTAACATTTTTACATTTTTACGTTTACGATTGTTACGATTACGACAAACTTTGATAAGAGCAGTAATTGATGATATAGCACTATTACTTCTACGTTTTTACGATTCTATGTTTTTACGTCTTTACGTTACGTTACATTTGAATTTACACGTTTATTTGATTACGTCATAAGTTTTGGTTTAAACTTTTAAAAACATATAAAAATTTTTAAAGATTAATAAAATCTGACGTTTTCTACGTTTACGTTCCCATATTTTAAAATTTTTGTGTTTATAATGTTCTTACGTTCTTATGCTTTACTTTGCATTAAAATTTTTATATTTCTATGTACTTTGGTATACTTTTAGGATTACGTTGTTACGCTTACGTTACGGAAAATATTTTAATTTTTTTACTTTTTTTATTCTTACGGTTGCGGTTTTACGTTTATGTTTTTAAGTTTTTACTGATAAATGCAATTAAAAAAAGTATAGTTTAATTCTTACATTTTTATTTTTACTTTATGTCAGTAAAGTTCTACGTTACGTTGCGTTTTACGTACTTACGTTTAGAGTTGCGTCCAATATGTCCAAGCAATACTCCCCTACAATAATAAATAAAAATCGTTTTTTTGCAAATAATTTTTCAGGACCGCAGCCCCCCTAGCCCGCCTAACCCAACCCCGCCACCTCCACAACTCCACAAACTTCACCCTCACCCCCCTGCTCCCCAAACACCACGCCATATTCAACGTGACCTACATCGAAGGAATAATTTTCGTCCACGATTCGGAAAATCTTCGGAACGCAACCGAATTCGTGAGGTGCGTCCCAAACCCTCCAAATCCAGATCTCTAATCCCAGATTTCAGAGTGAACATTTCCTGGATGCAAAACGATTCCCTGAAATCCGATGAAATCCAGATCCAGATCGTCGACGAGCCCACAAAGACCTGCAACGACGTGAGAAAATTCAACGATTGGGAGCACTGCGCCCAATACACCACCCCCGAGGAGTGTCTCAGCCCCAGAGCGTGTGCCCTCGCCACGGGAGGCTCCTCCAGTGTGGAAAAACGGAAGCGGCCCCAACGGTGCATGTGGCGGGGGGAGAAAACCCCCTCGAACGAGCCGACGACGCTTTACGCGACCTGCACCCCCGATGTGGAGACATGCCCCGACGAGAAGTGCGACGAATTGGAGCAGTTGGAGAGCACAGTGTGCCCCCAGGATTGCGCCGAGGAGGTGTTATTCCCCGCGGAGAGGAATAAAATGACCGGGAGGGGGATTTTCAGAGGGAGTGGGGTTTGTTTCTGTAGTACCCTTCAGTGCCATTGCAACCCTTTGGAGTACGTGAAGGTTCCAAAAAGGCGAAAGCCCACCAAACCCCCCGAAACTACCCCTTTTTTGGCCAATTCCAGTCGCCATACCAGCAACGTGACCAAAATCATGGGGATTGAGCTCGCCAAGTGTGGTACCACCTGCATTTTTGGGGTTATTGGAGGAGTGCTCTTCCTGGGGGCTGCTGTGGCCCTTTTTGTCATCTGCTGGAAACTGGATAGTGTGCACAAGGCTGTTCGGGATAAGTTCGGGGAGGAGAATCAGGATCTGGCAGCCCCCTTGTCGGACTACATCGACCGGTCTATGCCCGAACCACCCCTCAATTTCGAAATGACTACTTCTCTTGCAGATACGGCCATTTTAGGCATCATCAACAAGTATGCGGTAAGATTTCAGGTTTCAGGTGGGTCGTTAAATGTAATGTGAGGTTTGGTGTAGCCCGACCCCAAGTGGGAATTCCCGAGGAATCAACTCATTATTGAGCAAACGCTCGGCGAAGGGGAGTTTGGGAAGGTTCTTCGAGCCAAGGCGCTGAATATCGCTGGAACCCCAGGTCTGGTAATCACAATAAAAAAAAAATTCATTTATATTTTTTTTAATTTTTTTTTTATTTCTATGAATGAATTTGAGGTTTAAGTCCGACAATCCGTAAATAATTTCTTGTTTTTTTCTTTTTTTATTTTTTATATTTTTTTTTCAATAAATAATTTTGACATTTAATTTTAATATATAATTTTCAATTTTTCCTGTTTTGTTCTACTTTATTTATTTTTTGTTTTTATTTTAATCTATAAGTTTG